GGGGGTGGGTGTAGAAGCCACAATCTTTTTCTCTAGGTGTCCTCACTATACCTAAAGGTGTAGACTACAATGCCACCAGCATCCTTCAGTAGAAGCAACTGATGGCCTGCAGATGACCACTATCCCTGGGCTCAGGGCTCCACTCTGAAGGAACCAAGGTGTGCACATGTTTGTATGGATAAATTCCACAGAATCTCCTGCCGAGTACCCAAGTGTGGGCCAGGCCACCTTCCTGTACTTTGAGAATGGTGACAGTCCCCTGTTTACAGGGCTGTTGGGGTTCAGTGGGGTAACCCTGCACTGTGAATGTATACTTTTCTTTGAGGACTCCAAGGGCTGGTACAATAACATGTATGTTCTTGTCACCAGTGCTATACAGAGTGGGTTGTCCTCAGCAAACAGACAAACAGAAGCCATGAGACCTTGAAGCCAAGCATGGAGTTTCTAGAGGCCTGAAGTTAGAGTAGCCAGTAGCCAGAGTGATACTAAAACATCGAAGGCCTGCCTCACATCTTCAGGCTGTATGTGAGACCCCATGTTTGGAACTAAGCAATGCTTTCAACTATTCAGCTTTTCCCTCGTCCTTCCAGAGGCAAGGCCAGACTCCCCACCTCCAGGGGGAAGGACCAGCGTGCATTGAGAAAGAAGATTCTGAAAAGGCAGTGGGGTGGTCTCTTCATTAGCAGAGTAGGGGCAGAATCTGGGGTGTGCAGGTGGGAACTGGTAGAGGTCCAGGTGAGCATGCCTCAGTCCCCCCTCCCCTCCTATTCCTGCAGATAAGCTCCGAGTATGCCTATCCCACCCACAGCCACTACTATGGGGTGATGACACAGGACCTCGGAGGGACCAGGGCTTCTCCACTCTGTATAGTGGGCTCTTAAACAAAGCTGGAGATGCATTCCTGGCTACCCTCCTCCTACCCCCTGGCCAGGTCTGAGTGGGTTGGATACTTCAGCCTTGAGCCATGAAACCCAGGGAGGAGGGTGGTTTCAGATTCCCCGGCACAGCCAAGATTGATAAGCCTTCTTGTCACAGGGCCCCAAGCCCACTCAACATTCGTCATTTCCTACACACAACCCAGCTCTACAGGGTCACGGGGCAGCATGTCTATGCAGTCTCCTGAGAATTTGTCAGCATCTGCCTCCTGGCTAGAACTCAGAATGACCAAGAGAAGCCAGAGTGGGGCCTGAGCCTTTTCCTTATCTTTGCTGCATTTAGACAGGGATGTGCTTCATGCCAATGAAGAAAAGAAAGAAAGGGGGTGGATGGGGCAGGGTGGATGGGGCAGGGGGGTGAAGACCACACCCTCTACTGACCTGAACATCGAACTCTTGCAGGAGGCCAGTGATGGTCTGTGGAGAGAAGAGAGAGTCACAGTCAGTTTCCATGGTTACAGAAAAAGCATCAGTACCCAGGTGCCTCTCCACTGCCTGAATCTAACCTATCCTCCCTGCTTGGTGGGGCCTCCCTTAGTCTGTACAGAGAGAATGTCCTGTTCATCTCAGAGAACAGCAGTCCAGCAGAAAAGTGGCCCATTTGCTAGATTCTTTTTTGACAACAGTGAACCAAAAAAGATCTGAAGGAGAAGAGGACCACAAGCTGAGTGACAGAGTTGCAAATGGCTATAACTGTCTCCACCATGTATGGCACTTTTGAAACTCAAACAGGACTGCCACTGTCTGGATTCTAGATTAAAAACCAATCTTTCATGAGAGTAAGAGAACTTCGGAAACCTCTAAGCTTTTCCCTCTATCTAAACACAATGAATTTCAACCCAAATTCTATCGTCTACCATATTTCAGTGGCAAGAAAGGCCCAGGAAGAGAGGAACAAGGTCTTGAATTCACCAAGCCAGGATAGCATGCCTCAAGGAGGACTTGGAGCCCCACTGGTCCAGCCAGTGTCTCTAAGAAACGTCCCTGGCTTGTTTTCTATGTGACTCAGAAACTGAATCTAAACACAGTCAGCCAAGCCTCAGCCAGAGCCACCAGCCTCCAGGACAGAAGACTTAGCAGTGTCAAATGCACAAGAGGCCAGGAAAACAGAGCAGGGCACAGAAAACCACACAGGCTGGAACACCCAAAACCAATCACAGCAGATTCCCTACTGTAGGGGTTTTGACTGGGCTGCTGACATGAACATCTGAGAGTTGCTAAATGCACATAGAAACAAAGGGGACCAACATCCATGTTCTGTGTATGCATGTGTGCCTGTGCAATGCATGAGTGTGTGATTGCAGGTTTGTGCATGTTGTGTACATGTGCTTTTACGTGGTGCACTTGTTCACGAGTGTGCGCTCTGTATGCACATGCACTCTAGCCCATGAATATGCATGCTGTGTACCCACAGGTGCAGATGTGTGCCCACATGAGCATACGATGGGGTAGCCTGGAGTAGCTCCACTCACCTCCCCTTTTTCCACCAAAGGCTTCACCTCAGCGAGGTCCACGTCCTGTAGCTCCCGGGACATGTCCCAACTGTCACCTGCCTGCAAGAGGAAGAAGGCCAGGAGGTGAACACTTGACTCCAAGATAAGTTTCCTAAAGGAAGCTAATTCATGAAGAAGACAGGGAGGAAGGCCAGGCCTCCCCAGAGTGCTTCCTACCCACACCTGTGCCTCAAGGCTACAAGGTGGTCTTCCATTCTCCGCACAGCCTCTCCCAGGTTCCCCAGTAGAGTTGGGCAGTATATTCCTGGCAGAGGAAATGGGTTCATAGTCACAACTACAATAAAGCAGATGAATCATGGCTCAAAAGCAAGTATCACAACCAATCTAGACACACCCACCACACCCTGGATGTTTCTCCATGCATTCTGGAAGGAGCCCCTTTTCCTGATCCCAAACCACACAGCCTCAGACTGAAAGCCAAAGGAAACAAAAGGCCCCCGGGTGCCATCAAGTACAAGTGCTGTAAGCCTCTGGGCAGAACTCCAGGCTGCCATTCAAGAGAAGAGATAGGAGACAGGGACAAGCCCAGGCCAAGGGTCTGACAGGCAGTAAGCACTCGGTAGGATTTGAAAAGAGGCCTTAAGACAAATGGTACTTCCTGAGCCAGATCCCTAAAGGGTAGGCAGGGGTGGCCAGGGGGTCTTTGGCTGAAACTGGGACAGATAAGCCATGGGGCCAAGTAATGAGGGTTACAGAAGGAACAGGGCAGAACTCAGAGGAGCTTGGAATGCTGGCCTAATGGGCTCCCAGGGAGAGGAAAGGGCACAAGGTGACATCTACACAGCTGAGTGATAAACAAAAATTCTTCCGGATCCATAGTTGAGTTGAAAAATTAAACACCCAGGGATAGCGGGGTGAGGCCCAAGGAATTCAGAAGTATCATAAGTGGCACCGAGTTGGGCAAGGTAAGGGGGGAGTGCCAAAATGGGCCAAGGACACGGCCTTCTCTCTACCTACAGGTCAAGCAGGAGTTGACCAGCTGCCCAAGGCCCTGTGGATTTCACTGCAGTGGGAATTCAAGTTTCGAAAATTCCTGAGGATCAACTTGTGAACCCACGGGAGCCCTGTGACCCTCATCTAGATGTCAGCTCTCAAGAACGGGTGGTCTAGATCCATATCCCATGTCAGCACACAGCATGCCGTGGGTGGACCCACTAGCCACTGGATGTGCTGGTCTGGGGCCCCAGTGTGACTCTCCCTGGTAGATAACTACCTCACAAGAATGCCTTTATGTAGCCTTTGGAGTCTGGGCTCCAGAACATTCTGAAAACAAAGTCAGTTTTATATCTGTGCCCATTCCTGGGCCACTGCCAGGTTGGAGGCAGTACGCATGAAAAGCTAGGGTCTGAGCATCTTGCTAATTCAGCGTGTTCATGGTCCCGAGACCTTAGCCGTGGGACACCTCGCCTACACAGCCTGCAGAGTCTTCCAGAAGCCTGGGATTCTGGCAATACCATCTCTCATGCTGAGAGCAAAGAACTTCACAGTTCACAGGGCTTCTGAACAAGCCCTGATCAGCAGAGCGCCCAGGGCAGGCTGGGGTCTGTCCCACTAGGTGGGTTCCAGCAGGCCTTCTTTAGCCCTGCCTATGATCCCCCCCACCCATCAGGCAGCACACCTGCCTTTCTACCTCTGACACCTAGGATACCCCTAGCATAGCTCACTCCCTGAGCAGATGAGTAATGTCCCCTAACAGCTATCCTGCTGTTTCCTTTCCCCTCTGTTTGTCCCTAACCCACAGAGCAAAATGCCATAAAAACTCTTCTGCATTTACAAAGACTCAGCACATGCTGTAGCTCAGACTGGTTTGGTCACTTCTCAGCTTCCAGAAACTACCATCACACTGGAGTATAACATCAGCCTCCACCGGCTTTCTCCTCCCTCAGAATCCAAAGGAGATCAAGTGAGTAGCTTCGGTTGCTCACTGACCTGTTGAAGCCCCTTCCTCACATACTTTTTCTCCTCCTCCTACCCCTAGGCTCACTGCCAAGGTCAAGGTGAGGTGTGCTGAAAGACAATGAGTCTCTCTAGATGTCTCAAGCACTTTCCAATCTGCTCCTTGGAGCTGGAGGGGCCTCACCTAACGGCCCCTTAGCCAACTCAAGGCCTGATGGAAGCCCAGAGGTAAAGGGCTGGCACCACCTCATGTTATCTCCACACTCAGACTGGTTCTGTCTCTCAGGGACATTTTGTGCCATCTGAAGACTTTTTTGATTCTCATGAATGGCATGCTACTGGGGTATACCTCATGGGTAGAGGCCAGGGACACTGCTCAAGATCCTACAATGCACAGGAAAGCCCATCTGATCCAAGATGCCAACAGTGCAGGGGCTGAGACATCCTGGTCTAGACAGAGAACTTGGAAGTTGGTGGGGAGAGCCCATGTCTCCCAGCAGACTATGGGGCCTGCATAGTGAGGGACAGATGTTCTGGGGGTGGAAACACCTGTTCTGTCCAAGTCACTGTTCTTCAATAACCAAGGCTATGGATACCTGCGCTACAGTAGGCTACCTATGTTCTACATGTCCACCAGCTACTGGGCCAGAGCACAGATGGTCTGCCCCAGGCAGAGAGAGAGGCCATCCCTACGTCTACTCTGCTGACCAGGACCAGCTGGAAGGCCAGCCCCTAACTAGCTTTGGTGTTCCAACCAAAGGACTTCCCATATGTGTTCTCAGGTTTTGTTCCCCATATGCTTGTATTCAAAGGCAGTCGGTATTAGGAAGTTCAGTATAGAAAACAGATTAAAAAACAAAAACAGCTAAAATATTTTGGACAGAGTCAGCATTAAGGTGTTCTCAGGTTTTGTTCCCCATATGCTTGTATTCAAAGGCAGTCGGTATTAAGAAGTTCAGTATAGAAAACAAAACAAAAACAGCTAAAATATTTTGGACAGAGTCAGCATTAAGAATGTGGTCATTCTTCAGGCCCTTGTCCTCCTGTCCTGCTGCAACCCCAGAGCTGCCCTTAGCCAGCAGCTGAGTGTCAGGAGCAGGAGGGCCGAAGCCCTGTGATACAGTCAACGTTCTTCCTAAACGAGGTTACTAAGGGGCCCACATGAAGCTGGAAAGCAGCTGCAGCTGGGTTGAGAATCTACTGTGTGACATGTCTAAAGATACGGCCAAGACCAGACCCAGGTCTTGCCTTCAGAAACTCAGTCTCAAGATTTATGTGCTGACCTTGGGCTCCCTCGGTACTCACACGGCACTGTCTGGAGGGCCGAAGCCCTGTGATACAGTCAACGTTCTTCCTAAACGAGGTTACTAAGGGGCCCACATGAAGCTGGAAAGCAGCTGCAGCTGGGTTGAGAATCTACTGTGTGACATGTCTAAAGATACGGCCAAGACCAGACCCAGGTCTTGCCTTCAGAAGCTCAGTCTCAAGATTTATGTGCTGACCTTGGGCTCCCTCAGTACTCACACGGCACTGTCTATCTGTCTGCTTGTCCCTACTGACTCTCTATGACACCTAGCCCTCTGCTCACACTGTTGAGCAAGAGTTCCCTTGGCCCCCTTGAACATCCATGGGACCAGGCTGAAGGGACCTCCAGCAGAAACCCACTCTGGACTTCTAGGATCCAGTATCCCAAGAACAGTAGCCATGGGGATGGGCAGCATGAAGCCCCACGTGACCACAATGCAGTAATCACCACGGGCCACGTCCATGACCCCACATGGATCTTTGTGGTCAAAGAAGTCCTGGTGGGGGGATAGGGGGTGTTACCAACTTTACAGAATAACAAATGAAGCTGGTAAACATCCTTCACATGACTTCCCAAAGGTCCCATGTCTCCCACCCAGGGAAGGATAGTGACCTCGCTCCTTTGTTGTGGGTGTAGGTGGGGGTGGCTGAGGGCCTGCAGACAACAGATTCCTGCAGTCCTTCAGTCCTTCAGCAAAGCAGAGAAAGGAGGACCAGTGGAGACCAGGGCTGCTTCAGGACTAATTGTTGTCAGCAGCTGGCCCAGATTTTACCCTTTGAGTAACAAAGCCATGGGAGCATGGGTGTCCTTCCCAGCATGCCCTTTACAGAGCAGATCATTAAGTGGGGGGTAGGGGGGCAGTATGTGCTGCCGATTGTGGCCTAGCAAGCCCTTAATATGGCAACCCCAGAAAAGTCTGGAGGGTAGTTCCACTTCTGTGCTAACCCTGGGAAAATCACCTTGGGACATGCCCAGGTCTGATCCCTGCCCTTCGCCCTCCCTGTGGGTCACTCTTGTGTCAATCCACATTGATTGTGAGTCACTCTGGGGGGCACCTCGCCATTTCTTTCTGTGTTTTCTGGACTTTTGAAAGTGAAGGTTCTGTGGAGTATGAGGCGGCGGCCTGAACTGGTTTTCTTAAGTAATCTACCTCCCAAACGGTATGGTGAACAGTACAGTGAATGGACTGGACCTCTGAAAAAGTTCCTCGCTTCTGGGAAATATAGATGGGGGTGGAGAGACTCAGATCAAAACACCAAAAGACAGTGCAACCATCCTTTGCAGGGACTTCAAGTCCCTGAGTTCCTTCAGGGCCTCAGTGCTCCACAGAGCACTGGACGTCCCTGTCTTGTTCCATATAGAAAGAATGGCACAGAGGTCACAGGAGAAGGCAATCTGTTAGGTCACCAAAACTGCTTCATCCCTCAGGCATCTGCAAGAACCGCATGTTGCTTTTTGCAGCACTGGGATTGAACCTATCACAGTGCCAAGGACTCTACCACGCCCCAGCTCTCTTTTTGTACATTTTTTTTTTTATTTTGAGACAGAGTCTCCCTAAGTTGTCCAGGCTGGCTTTGAACCTGTAGTTCTCCTGCCTCAGCTTCCTAAGTAGCTGGGATTATAGGCCTGCACTACCAGCCCTGGCTGAAATGGGGTTTGGGGGTGTTCAACTGGATACCCCCCCCGGAAGCAACCAGCATCAAGGTGGCTAGAGGGCTGGCTAGATCACAATAGCAGGAAGAGGGGGTGTCAGGAATCTGGCCGCCCCCACTGCACCTCTGGGGATCTTCCCGAAGCATTCAGCGTGTCTTGGCTGGAGTTCTGGCAGAGTAAGAGGTTCAGCAGAGGGCCATCTAAGGGGACAGGCCCAGTAGTTGGAAGTCTGAAGGAGGACATTGGTCACATTAGATGACTTATTCTGTGAATCTGAAGGATGGGTGGGAGCTGTGCTGACTAGACTGAGACAATTTATTGAAATCTCAGAGCTGATGTTAGCCTAGAATGGAAATGGATCTCCATAACAGAGACTTTTGTCCCCAAGATCAGACTGCATGCAAGCCATCCTAATGAAATCCTTCCCCAAAATAGGCCCACAGGCTCCATGCTCCAGAACAGCCCTTCTGGTCCATCCTGTACAGATGGCCTGGGTCATCTCCATTATCAATGAGGCTTCCTTTGAACAGACATGGACAACATGCTCATTAAGTGCCAGGCTCTCAGGTCCCGGGAAGGGGCATGGGAAAGCAGACAGACTACCAGACTATAACAACACAGTGTGACCCTACAAGGACCCATGGGACCAGGAGGGCACTCAGCCCAGCCACCAGTTACCAGGGAGGCCATAGGGGAAGCAGGGGAGGAAGGGAGAGGAGAGGAGAGGCAGACCAACTGAGGGATGCTCAGAGTTATCTGTCTCTTAAAGTTCATCTCATCTATAAGGACCCCCCCAGGGACAAGGGGAAGGCCCTGGGAATGGAAATGGAGGAACAAGATGAAAACCTGCACCTTATCTACGTAGAACACTATGAAGGTTTAAAGGTTCCTTCAGATTTGATAAGGGAAAACCTGTCAAAGATAAAACCCCTACAGGGCATTCAGGTCCCAAACTGCTCAAGAACATCCTTCTACCTCCTCAAGTCGGGGTACACTGGCTAGATTGATGGGCCTGGAGATGGAGCCTGAGAGATCAAGGGTGGGGGAGGGGGCATGCAGATCTACTAAAGAGCAGACAGGAAAGGAAGAAACTCTTGGTCAAAAGAGGCTGTGGACCCAGTTTCGTAAGCACGTTCTTATTACATGGTACCAAGGCAGACTGCCTCACAGTCTCTACAACCTATAGAATTCAGCTCCATACCAGCATCCAAACATGGCCCTCCATCTCTGAGGCAAACTACCCACTGAGCCTCAGTGTCCCCATCTTGAGAAGGGCCAGCCTAGGATAAGATGTGCTCAAGAAAGCATGGGACCTGCAATGAGTCCAACCGGGCACATAACCCACACCAAAGCTGGGTTCAGAGGCTCTGCGTGGCCTGAAGGGACAACACTTGGGTTTAGAACTGGCTAGAGGTGGCTCCCTTTGACCCAGATATGCTCACCTAACTTTTAGGCAGTTACTCAGCCTGTTTTCTAACCTGGGAATTAAGAATACCTCCTACATCAACTGGATGAGGCAATACACTGAAGCACAAGGCAATGTAGGTAGGCAAGAGTTATGTGTTGAACAACCATTAACTTTCACACATGGACAACACAGGGGCCAAGGAAGGCTTGGCAGGTGTGTCCATCTCCTTCTTCCTGCTGTCTACCAGCCTCCTGGAACAAAGAGCTTCAACTGCCTACCTTCAGCCTCACCCTGTCACAGCTTAGATTTTTTTTTTAACATCTCAGTAACAAAGGGGCCAGGATGCTGACTGCCAAGGAGGTGGCTCTATAGTGTAATATGGGGGTGTTTCTTATGGGAAACTTCCAGGAAGTTGCTCCCCATGTGTTGACCACTGTCCTCACTTCACACAGACTAGCTCAATTAAGATCCACACACCCAGATGAGACTGGTTCACAACTCTCCCTTTACAGAAGAGGAAACAGATTCCTGATGCCTCTCTCTGTACTCCTCCTTCAGGCCTACTTGATACATTGTTGTGCCAAACCAAAGCTTTGAGACTGGACTCAAGGGGTTTGGAGTCTGGTTCTACCACTTGTAGTCATAAGGCTACATGCAAATCTCATCCAGTCAAGGAGCTGATACAGCCCAGGCAGGTGTCCCTGTGGAGACTATAGGGAGTAAGGGGACACAGTGACTGCTCTGGAAAACTAGATGCTCAGTCTAGCACTTCCCAGCCTTCCTTCTCAATGGCCTGTGCCCAGCCTGCTCTAGGTAGACCCCAGGATGCTGAGTCATCATGTTGGCTTGCCTGAGGAACGAAAGGACGATTAAGTCAGGCCTTGGGTGGATGGATGGATCTGCTGGAGCTAGGTCCTAAGGGAAGCATAGTAGTTTGGGCCATCAGAAAAACACAAAGCCTTCTTTCTTTCCCTTGCTGGGACAAGCTCAGGCCTTCAGGGGTCAATGCACCCAGGGGCCCCAACATTGTTCAGTGGGGCAGTCAACTCACAAAGCTGGTTGGGGGTGGGGGCTGTGACCCTTTTTTTTCCTCACTAAACTGACTTTGCTTACACACCCAACCTTAAATATTTTTGAAGAAAAACAATCATCTATACTTTGCTTTTCCCTTCAAGTGGTCTCACTAGAAACTTGGTAAAGAGGCAAGTTTCTGTTTACCCCTTCATAGCACACAGATAAAATTAAGTTGAGTCCCTACCAAGAGACTCCTGGGAAGGGCCTAGAACAGAGTCCTGGCTCTCACTGGCCTTGACACAGGCCTCCCTATCTCTGGTTGGGGTTTTCATCTCTAAACTGGCAAAAGGCTGGACAGGGTATTGTGTGAGCTTGGATTTCCATCCCAAATGACTCAACCAGTGGTTAGCCATCTCTGGTTTGCCTGTCACTAGGAGAGAACTTGCCAGAACAGGAAACCCTACAATGGGACCTCGGAGCCAAACAGTACCTCTAGACATAGGGTTGTGTCAGATACCTACAATGGACCAAAGGAGGGCAGGGCAGGAGGAGGGACTGTCAAAGACATTCCTCATGTATATCTGAGTCCTTCCTATGGGCCGGGCCTTGGGCTAGATGCCAGGCTACTGGCCCAGGTGTGGCAGGCAAAGTCCTCCTCCTTATCCAGGTACCTAGTACTTAACCACTAGGAGGCCATGCCCCACCAAGCTCCGAAGGCACAGGTGGGAGCACTAGCCCAAGGGCACAAGTTCCTGAGCACCATCCTTTGGAGCTTTTCCAGCCCTTTCTGCAAAGTGTCCCTTCATACTTTTCTCAGTCCCACTTAGTATCGCCCTGGCCAGGGGCTGCTGACTGAGCCACCCCACATACCCAAAGAAGCCTGTGATTCTTGCCAGAAGTTGGCCAGCCTCTTGAAAACCAGCGTGGAGGTTTTTCTCTCTGCATGCACCTGGCTTTCTCACATGCACACATGTGAAACTTAGCCCAGATGCCATGATTTCTCACAGGAAGAGGCAATAAGAAAGATCTGTCTTGAAACTCATTTCACAGATTCAGGTTCATCTGTGGTAGTATAGGAGCTCATGAAACTGGAGATGGGGGTTGGGGGCATACCTGCTGACCTCTTCTCTAGGTGTTTAAAGTTCTCAAACAAGCTTCACATGCCCAGGAGACCTGTGAGGGAGGGTTGTTCTTGGACACAGACCACTGGACTTCCCTCCCTGACTCGCTGTGCTCCCACATTTAGACCCAAGGGGTGCTGCTGGGGATTGGGAAGAGTGGCCAGTAGGGCCGACAGACTGGGAAAGAGGGGGAGGTGTCAAGGTAAGGAAGCAATCCACAAATCCTAGCTCCAGCTACTAATTTGACAGAGGCGGTGACAGCCTGTTTCCCTAGGAGCCCGCAGCATTCCGCACGTCCCTCCCGACTCTCCACGAGGTTGAATCAGAGACCGCGGCGGGTCTCCCAGGAACGTACGAGCAGTTCCAGCTGTTCTCTCCGCTGGAACAGCAGAAGAGGCCGGTCCCGAGACAGAGGGAAGGAAAGCGGGGGAGGGTGAGCGGAGGCGAAAATGACGCCACTCGGAGCGCCTGCCAACGCGGGGGCCGCCAGATGCCAGCGCGACCCTGCCCGCCCAAGTCACTTCTCCCGCGCAGCCACAGCGCCAACCCAGGGCCACCTCCAGGGCCGCGCCCTGCCCGGGCTGCGCGCGCTGTGGACACTCACGTAGACGCATGCTGCACGCGCCGAGACACACCCCGGACTCTCCCCCCGGCGCGCACGTTCTCACACCTACAGAACCCAGTTCTGGGGCTGGATGGGCACCCGGGCTCAGATCCACACCGTTTTGCAACCAGTCTCCAAAACAGAGACCCACACCCACGGCCCCTGCTCCAGCCTCCCTACCAACGCCTCTCACCCCTACCCACCTCTTGGATACACGCGGTGCAATCTCTCCTTCTCTAGCCATCCAGACGCCCATTCACACCCTTCACACACACACACACACACACACACCACACACACGCACGCACACAGTCCCCATGCGCCTACTGGACAGCTGTGATTCTGCGGTGACGCTAGGAAGCGCGATCCAGGTGTTCCTAGACTCACCGCCTCCACCTCGACTCCCCAAATCCCACTTCCCAGGCTGGAGGGAAAGCAAACGGGCACTAGTCTACTTCTTTTCAATCAAACCCGCCACTCCAGGGATGCCAGCGCCCCAATGCCCCCTTCCCACGCCAGCGGGTCCCCGCGTGGGCCACAAAAGGCGGGTGAGGCGCTTCAGGAGCACCAGACAGCGAGCCCTCCTGCGGGTCCCGGCGGTGCCGGGGAGGAAGAAGGCGTCTGGAGGGCTTACCTAAGTAGCGAGAACGGAAAGGAGCCGGAGACAAGGGTGGCTGCGCGGCGCCCAGCGGGAGGCGAGCAGAGCGGCGAGGATGGGCGTGGGATGCGGAGCGCGAGCGGGTGGCCTGGCGAGGTTTGTTTATGTCCGGATGGAGGGCGACTTTATAGGAGGCGCAGCCCCGCCTCCGGGGCCTCGCCCCTCCCCGACCCTCGAGGCCCTGCGCAACGGGACACACCCCTTCCCCGCTCCCCTGTAGGCCCTGGCCTGGCTGGGCGGGCCGGAGTCTCCGCCTGTTGCGCAAGCCTTTGCAAGGGCGTAGCGGGAGGGGCCGCCAGACCCGCGGCGGCTCCTCCCTGCGATTCCCGGGCCGCGGCGCGTGTGCACCGTGCGGAGTGTGTGTTCCTGTGCGCGCTCGTGCATGTGCATGTGGACTTCCTTGTGCCTCTGCGCGGCCGCGTGGCCCCCACTGCTGTCTCCGTTCCTTCTCCAAAGCGTCTGCCGGCGCCACGCCCTTCTGGGCGGCACCCCCATTTCCTCCACATCTCCAAGTCCTCACTCCCGAGCCCCTTTTACAGCGGAGGTTGCAGTCTGACTCTAGATCCCTTCCACATTCACCTCAGCTTTCTGGGTTCTCGCGCATCTAAGCGCCCTGTACCACCCCTTTTGCCCATTGCAGTTCTAAGCTAATCTCTCGTGGCCCTTCCCCCTGCCCCTCGATCCTATCGTGTGATCAGTGAGCATTCTCCACGCTGTCTTCCTGATCTTCAGAACTTGAAATGGGTTCGTTTTCCAACCCGTGTTTTCCAAAACCTTGGGCTCTCTGCCCTTTACCAGGTTCTCACTGCACCCTAGATACTTGGGGAGGGTTTTCTTAAGCCGATGGGTGTCCAGCCTCCACCTAGGGCCACTTAGAATTTCAGGGAGTGTGACCCCACACGGAGGCTTTGAAAAAAGTTACCCAATGGGAATTGACAGTGGGTATAGGACCTTGCCACCAAGCCTGAGGACCTAAATTTCATTCCAGGAACCCACATGGTGGAAGGAAAGAACCTACTGCAAATTTTCCCCTCGCCTCTGCCTGCCCTACACAGACTACATAGATTAGATAGATGATTGATAGATGATTGATAGATAGATGATAGATAGATGATTGATAGATGATAGATAGATGATTGATAGATGATAGATAGATAGATGATAGATTGATTGATAGATGATAGATAGATGATTGATGATAGATAGATGATAGATTAGATGATAGATAGATAGATGATAGATAGATAGATAGATAGATAGATAGATAGATAGATAGATAGATAGATGATAGGTAGTCTCCAAATTGGCTATAATATGAAGCCATGGTTGAGAACCACGGCATTGGAGGAACAAGAAATTTTGTCACAGCTCTGCCCAGTGCAGTCATTCGCCCCAAGCCACAACCAGGCCTTGCTGCTTCAAGTGACCCTCCCCACCTCTTCTACCTACTGAAGCCGGACTTCTCTTCTCCACCAGCCCAAGGTGTCCTCAAGGCTCAGGACCCACTCTCCTCTTAGGCCTCCCATGTGCCTCTAGATGATAACACTGGTCCTCATCCTGTCCATCTATGAACATCTAAGAAACTGCTCTGTGAGCCTGGCCTGTGCTAAGCCACATGGAGAGAACTGAAAAGCCAAAGCCCTTTCTTTTCCCAGCTAGCAAGATGGAGGCCCAAGACTCAGTTCTCCATCCAGGCAAGACAGCTAAGCTGAGCTCGTTGGGTCTGTACTGAGTACCTGCTATGTTCAAGAACCATCCTGGACCTGAGGGCTGTGGGAATGAACAAACAGTTGGCATCCTTGGGAGTCATCCTGTTGGTTTACAACCCTCCCGGATGGAGCAGTCTGTTACCCTGCTAACAACCGTTTTTTCCCATTACCCCATTGTACGGGACTATCCTCCAAGCCAAACTGCCGCCATCTTGAGGCGTTCAGCTGTGCTGGCTTGCAAAAGACCATCACAGATGGGCTTGCTGACTGTTGACTCTCCTCATAGACTGCTTGAGGCAGGGAGTGTCATGGGACCTTCATCTGAATGTCCAGCCACACCTCCTAATGTATGCAATTCTGCCCTAATTGCATGTAGCCTGGGGGAGGAGCTAAATTATATAGGCTCAGGAAGACTACGGGAAGGGGCTCCCTCTCTGTAGCTATGGCGAAGCCATCATCCATGCTGGGTGAAGACTTTCTGGAATGGCTTTGGAGGGAACACCCACATTCCTGTAAGTAACCCCTCATCTATGCTCTGTAAGTACGACCAATAAACTCACTGATTCCCAGGGTGAACTTTGGTGGACCCATATCTTGGTTTGTTTGGGACCTTGGGAAAAAAGGTTTTTCGTCTCTCCCAGGGAAGGAATTTTAACACCTTCCCTGTCTTGTCTTTCAGCAAACATTTATTGAGTACCTATGGTTTGCTACCTGTCAAAGATGTAGAGGGTGAAATTTGAAATTGTAGAGGTGTTGCCCATTTCCTTCATAATGGGCATTTCAGTGGGTATTTCACCAGGAGCAGTCATCTCCTGTCTCTCTGAGGAAGTCTCCTGAGAAGAACACATAGAAAAGCCCTAGACCTGCAGACGAAACACTAAGGACATTGCCAGTGCTGAGGAAGCCTGATTTCTGGGTGACCTACAACTTCGAATTAGTTATCAGACAAGAAAAGCCAGGGCGGCTTAGACCTGTCATTCCATCCCCTGGGGGCGGGGGGGGCGGATACTGCAGAATTGTCATGTGTTCCAGACAAGCATAGGCTCTGCAGCAAAACGGTGTCTCCAAACCACAGCAACAAAAAGGGAACAGGGTCAGGAGAGTAGAGAAAGGCAGACAGAAGAGGAAGACCAGGGGGAGAAGTTCCCAGAGCGGTGGCCTTCAAATCCCACATCCAAATCAATCTGGAAAAGGCCTGAGTGAGTTGCCATTTGAATTCACACGCCATAGGTCACCATAAGTCAGTACCACCCAGTTTCCCTTCCTGGTGCAATTGATTGTCCCATTGAGTACTAGGTGAAGCAGGTGCCATGTGTGCTTAGGTAAGAGACTACCTTAGTGCAACTGGGAATGCATACCCAGGATGGAGGATGCTTGCCCTCAACAGGAGTCACCCACCTAGGAAGCTGAGCAGTGCCTGGACACCCACCTCCCCAGCAGAGGCCAGCTGAGGCCTCAGATACTCTTGAACTGAATGTGGTTGTTACTGTGTTCAGCTGTTGGAATGATTCCTCTTTCTCCCTGGTCAGCATTAGAATTGGATTTGCTTAGTAAATATGCACAGCCTGCCAACCCAGCACAGGGTGAGATTAGATTTTCTAGATTAATGTCCACTGGAAATTTCTGTTCAGCAACACCTTAGATTTTTAAATGACCATAGGAACCATCCATTTCCATCCTTCTTTTTTGCAGTCTGTGAGTAATTGGGCATGGGAGAGAGTCCAGGGGCAGCTGTATTCATGGAGAAGAATGTAGATTGTGGTGCCTTGTACACCTGTGCTTTGAGCTCATTCCTGTGGAAATTACCTATTCTCTGTGACAGATAGTTGTGAGCCACTAGGAAAGGTGTCGAAGGAAATTAGCTTCAAGCTGAGTGAAACAAAACGGTTCAGAATAAATACCTTGAGTTTAAATGAAGAGGTGACAACATTGGGCTCCTAGAAAGACAGTGTTTCCTGACCCCTGGCTTATATGAGCTTCCTAAGACAGGCATAACCAAGTCTCACAGAGGAAATTAAGCCACAGAGTTTATTCTATCTCGGTTCTGGAGGTCAGAAGCCAATGTCAAGGTGCAAATGGGGCCTGGTCCCTGTGAAGACCTCAGGGAAGCCTAGTCTGACCTCATCTAGTGTCTGGTGCTGGTGGTCCTTGGTGCCCCTTACCTTGCGGAGGCATCACCAGATGTCCTTCCCCTGTGACTGCGTTCCTTTTCCTCATATTCCAGTATGACCTCAGTGACAGTTAATCTTGGTTTTGATTGTTGGATATGTGTGTGTATGTGTGCATGTGTACGATACATGTGGGTAAATGGTGCATAAGTGGAGGCCAGTGAAAAACTTTTTTAATGTATTTGTGTGTGCATCTACGTGTGTGTGTGTATGCCTTATGTGTGCAGGTGCGTGCGGAGGCCAGAATAGGGTGTTGGATTCTCTGGAGGTAGAGTTAACAAATAGTTGTGAGCCACCCAATGTGGATGCTGGGAACCAAATTTGGGATGGTTAGTTCGGCTAACCTATGATTGTTAGTTTTGAGTGTTGACTTGATAGGATCCATACTCAACTAAGCGATGGCCTCTGGGTAGGTCTGTGAGGGCATTTCCAAGGACTCTCTGAGAGGAAAATCCCCCACCCAGCTTTGCTTGCCACCTTTGCTTCTTTCTGGTGAATGAGTCCATCCCTCTGTGTCTGCTTCTGCTGCCACAGCAGAATGGACTTCTTCTTCCAATGCAGACTGAAGACTAGCAGCTCTCCAGGAACCCCTCCAGGTCTTCAGTGTTAGATTGGGACTAAGCTTGGGCATCCAGATTCACAAACATAGCAGCTATGCGGCGGTGGGCCCTCAGCCTCTCCAGAATGTAAACCAATGCAGACTGAAGACTAGCAGCTCTCCAGGAACCCCTCCAGGTCTTCAGCGTTAGATTGGGACTAAGCTTGGGCATCCAGCTTCACAAACTTAGCAGCTATGCGGCGGTGGGCCCTCAGCCTCTCCAGAATGTAAATAGCCATTGTTGGACTACCCAGCCTGCATCGTGTTAGCCAGTCCAATAAATCCCCTTTGCAATATCTATTCATTCTATTAGTGCTATTCCTCTGGAGAACTCTACTAATGTAACCTTATTTTAACTAATTGCATCAGGGAAACAAAAAACTGTTTCCCTGATGCAATATTGTTTTGAAGGTCTGGGTAGTGTACATTTGGAGGTTGTTATTCAACCCAGCATGGTTGCCATGGTTTTAGCAAGCATGTACAGCAGACTTCCGGGAGACTTGCTGTAGGGAAACCCAAGGATGTCTCATCCCATATTCCACTGTCACCCGGAACAACTCAAATATAGGTCTTGCCTCATACATGTTCCTTGGCTCCTGTTTCCAGCCAAGACCACCACCATGTCTCCCTTTTGTGCTAATGGGGATTCCAGAAGGAGCCTTT